TAAAATTACTCGAAGAGCTTTACCACAGGCCAGTGGTACCACTAGGGTTAATGCCACCCCGAGTAGGAGAAGATGAAAGTCAATCATGGGTTTCAATCAAAACTTGGCTGGATAATCAAAATAAACGGACAGTTGTTTACGTAGCATTAGGGAGTGAGGTGACGCCGAGTCAAGATCAACTCAATGAGTTGGCTCTTGGATTGGAGTTATCTGGTGTGCCCTTCTTCTGGGCACTGAGGAAGCCATCTGGGTCCGGCGAGTCTTACTCAGTGGTTTTACCAGATGGGTTCGAGGAAAGGATCCAGGGCCGGGGTATGGTGTGGAAGAGCTGGGCACCTCAGTTGAAGATACTGAGTCATGACTCGGTGGGTGCATTCTTGACTCACTGTGGTTGGAGTTCTTTCATAGAGGGACTTGCTTTTGGTCTCCCCTTAATTGCCTTGCCCTTTCTGGTGGACCAAGGATTGAATGCTAGGGTTATTGCTGACAGGCATGTTGGGATAGAAATCCCAAAGAACGACGAAGATGGAACATATACGAAGAACTGAGTGTCCAACTCGATAAAATTAGTAACGGATGAAAATGAGGGGAAAATATTTCGAGAGAAAACTAAAGAAATGAGTGAAATATTTGGCGATAAAAAATTACATAATCGTTATATACAAAATTTCATTCAATTTCTTGAAAGTAATTAGAGAATCATTTCAGGCGTCGCAACAAGCACATAGTTATTTCCTATGGATTGGATCATTAGAATCTCAAAATCCTTGATTGTTTCTTGTTAATTTAAGAATTCAGAATTTCGAATAAGATTCATATGTTTCTTACGGATTGTATATGAGATGAAGATTTGCAATTACGAGTCATCAACAAAATTCTTCGTTCTTGATTATCATTATCCTTGGAATTCAACTTTTGAAACAAGAAGGAATACCACAGTAGCAACACTCAAAATTCTTGGTTTCTTTCTTGTTATTCTTGTGATTCTTAAACGAAAGGAAAATAGAAATTCATCGATTAAACTAGATAAGTAGAAGATTGAAGTCTAAAATTAAACCGGGCTTAACGTTTAGTGACCAACAATTTGTTCACTCGTGTTCCTTTTATTTTTTGAATCACACTATATATACGTGATATTTTATTAACAACGAATGTCCTTTCTCTCTAGCTCCTGGTTTTGAACTCGCAAATTAAATAAGCTTTCATAATTATTATTGTATCTAAAATTCGGGAAGTCCATAATTTTATCCCAATCTTCATGAATCCCTCTTTACCTTAAAAGAGAGAATCTAAAGTTTACTATGTATTTTTGTCACACTAATTTTCACATTAAACCGATTTGAAACGGGTTTGACAATAGTAAATTGGGTTAATTTCACAAACGGTCATTAAACTTACAGAAAAATTACAAAACGATCATTGAAGTTTAAAATTTTCAGTAACGGTCACTTAAGTATTGGGACGCTTTCAAAAATTGTCACTGACGTTTAAAAAATTTTGAGCTACTTTGGCGGCAATTTTTTGACCACTTTCGACCACCGATACCACCGGATTTTGATACCGTTGGAAAGCCTACAATATCATCTTCAATTATACCAAAAAATCTCCCCCAAATCTAAATGATTCGGCCGGAATAAATTCACAAAATTGGCTATCCGAAAAGGCAAAAATGTGCCCAAAATTTCATATTTTTGGTAGACTTTTGCGGCATTTTTTGACAACTTTCGACCACCAAAATAACCAAATTTTGATACCGTTGGAAAACCCACAATGTCTTCTTTAATTAGCATCTAAAATCTCCCCCAAAACTCTAAAGAATTCGGCCGGAATAAACTCACAAAGTTGACATCCCAGATTTTCGCCTTTTTGGGATGTCGATTTTGCGGGTTTATTCCGGCCGAATCCTTTAGAGTTTGGAGGAGATTTTGGATTAGCCATACAATTGCTATTCATAATGGTAAGGAACATTTGCCTATTATCTGGATATGCCAAGAAAGATGTACAGTCTAATGAGGCTACTATGAAATATTTACTCTGGTAATTGAAGAGGATATTGTGGGCTTTCCAACGATATCAAAATCCGGCAATCTTGGTGGTCAAAAGTCACTGGAAAATTGCCGTAAAAGTCGCTTTATTTTGCCATAAAATGATTCCTTTATTTTTAAATATCTGCTTAAAAATTTAAGTTAATATTTTTTTTACTTAGAAATAGCATTTACGATTATAACTTTTTTTTTTTTTTAACTTTTAAATAACTTTAAACGATTTTTTTTTCTTACTTATATAAGTAATTTTTACATTTTAGAAATAATTTTTGTCTTATTATTAGTATGTTTATTTTTCAATAATTTTTTATATAAAAGTGATTTTTTTACTTATATAATAAAAGTGGTTCAGCACGGAGTAGAGAGATGAGAGTTGGTGGGAGGTATGAAAAGTTGCGTGTTGCAGTAAAAAGAATTGTCTCCCTATTTCCAAAAAAAAAAAAAAAAATTAACCAAAAAAAATATTAAAGTGTCTCCGTGTACGGAGACCGACACGGATCTCTCTCTCTCTCTCTTTTTATTTTTGCAAATTTCATTTTGATAAATCTGTCAGTGTAAATATATTTGCATAAAAGTTATTCTTTATTTCTAAAATGTAAAAAATTACTTATAGCTAAAAAGATCACTTCAAGTTATTTAAAAGTAAAACGAACTTATAATTGTAAAAATTACTTAAAAGTAAAAAAATATTAAGTTCAAATTTTTTAAGTATAAATAATTAGATATATTTAGTTTATTAAATATTAATAAAAAGATTGCACTATCTAGAATATAAAAAATTACTTATAGGTAAAAAAATCACTTCAGGTTATTTAAAAGTAATAAAAACTTATAATTGTAAAAGCTACTTATATTTAAAAAAATTAACTTTAATATTTTTAAGTAAATATTTAAATATATTTAATTTTTTAAATTAAATATTAATAAAAAATTACTATAATTAAAAAGAAAATAATAAATAAAGAAGAAAGAAAGAAGTTAACTCCGTGCACAGAGTGAAAAACCACTCTTTGCACGGAGTGGTCACGAAGTGATGACCTCT